ATACAAATGAATTTATTTACAAAACAGAAATAGACTCACGGACATAGAAAACAAACTTATGATTACCAAAGAGGATAGCGGGAGGTGCGGGGGGCGATAAATTAGGAATTTGGGATAACATATACACACTACTATACATAAAATAGATGAACAACAAGGACCTACTGTATAGCACAAGGAACTCGACTCAGTATCTTTTAATAACCTATAATGGAAAATAATCTGAAAAATATATATATATGTATAACTGAATCACTTGCTATACATTTGAAACTAACACATTATAAATTAACTATACTTCAATTTAAAAAAACAAAAACAAACATAAAAATCAACATATAAAGTTACACTTACAGTACAATTTCAACTTTGTAAAAATAAATATACACAGGAAAAGACTGAAATAAATTTATCAAAAGATTAACAATGCTTTGTTTCGATAGTGAGATTATTGATGCTTTTAATTTATTTTTTGATTCTTTTCAGTAGTTTCAATTTTTTTACTAAATAACATATCCTTACTATAATAAGGAAAGCCATTAAAAAGATCAATGCTTTTTTTACAGCTACAAAATCCAGTCAAAGTAATTACACCCAGCTCAAGAACCTCCTTGCACAGAGGCAAGGAACCAGCATCCCGGTCAATTCTTCTCCTAGAGCTATGGAAAGTGAGAATTTTTCTAGTAGAAACACTTCAGCAAGAAATTATTCAGGCTCTTGGAGAAATGAGATCCAATCAGCCAAACTCAACAGGGTCCAATCTGGAGCTTACACAGCCAGTCCCCATAATGTGGAGCTTCTGGTGCCCAGAGCTAGACAAAATGCTCTATTAACATCCTGCACCACAACCTTGATCTTCTTTGTACTTCCTTTATGCCAGCAGTGTTATCACATTTTGACAGCACTGATTCAAAAGCCCGGAAGAGTTAGGAGTGTTGCTTTAACATCTGGAATAGGAATGCTAACCTAAATCAGTCAACATGCACACATCCATATTGGGATTTTTTCACTGAGATGAGTTCTTATGACTTCTGTGTCTCTTTGCCTACTTTTATGTCAGAGCAAAACCCCATTTCATTGACCAGATGCCTCTGATGGTGACAGTGCTTGCTTCATAGAAGAGTTGGGCTGCCCTGCTCTCCACCATCTCAGAAAAAGAGAGTTTAGAAATATCAGTAAAGAGAGAATTATTCTGCAGACATGTTGGAGTGACTTTATTTATTCGTATGGAAAATACAGGTATTTTCCCCATTGGATACAACTGTAAATTTATCATCAGCCAAAGGACTCTTAAGAGCATCTGCTTCTAAAATACAAACAAAACCTGCTTACGGTTACTGAGCATGCCTAGTTCTGATGAGACAGGTTAAGCACAAAGACAGTGAGGGGCTGGGGGGAAAGAGTGAACAAAACTTGTTTATTCCTCCTGAATTTTGTTTTAGTTTCATTCTCTGTGATGTCTGGACACTTCCTCTTTCCTTAATCATTTCTTCATCCATTACAGATCTTCCCACACCTCCTATCAACCCTTCCCCATGGGGTAATCTTTCTGTTTTGTTTTAAAGCAAACAACTATTTGTTTAGGTAGCAAAAGATTAAATCCCAGTTATTTGGTGCATAAATTCTGTGCCTGCATTTTTTTATACTTTACAAGTACTCTTGATAATAAAAATGTAGACTTTGGAGCAAGCAAAGCATCATTGTAAACATTTATCTTATTTTAAGTGAGAAGAGATATAGTGATATGGGAATGAAAGAGACCTACCATGACCTGATCATTTTTTTAATCCTACAAAAGTCTAAACAACATGATACACTATTTTATTTCTTTAACTCCTCTAGGAAACTCTAGTCATATTAAGTAGTAGTTACACTTCATGTAGAGCCTCTTGTAAGATCTACATATACGTGTTACACAAGAAAATGCCTAAAATCCAGCAAGTGAACATCATTGCCTAAGGCTACACGACAAGTTAGTGAGCAAATGAAAACTGAATGATCACGGAAGACTTTCTTCCCTTCCCCAGGAACGTAAGTGCTCAGGAAAGATGACATGCAGTGCTTCTGACATGTCCAAATATAAACCAAGACTGTGCCTAAACAACGTGGATCCCCTGACAATTAGACAACTTTACTACCCCTATGTTAGTGACCAAAGGGCCCCATCAGAGAATGATCAGTCTACTGAAGGAAAAGTTAAGGAGTGAATTCACCTCCCATTTCATAGAAAATAATAATGGCTATCAAATGTGCTTGCATTTGCAATTGTCCTTATCTCTTTACCTATCACATCAAGAGATAAGACTTTCATCACACGTACTCAACCTCGGGTCTTCAGAGACCTTGCTAAATCAATCATCCTCCCTTGCTTAGACATCCTCCATATTTCTCCTTCTTTTAGAATTATCATATAGGCACATTAATATATTCAAACCACACCCATATTAAAAGCCACTCTTTTTAAAAACCTTTTTTCCAACCACTCTCCATTTGCATCATGGTTTTGTGAAAAGAATTGGCGGTAAGTCTTGACTCCGTGTCCTTCACTCAGCCCACTGCAATCTAGCCTCTACCCTACAAAGCAATGAAACTCAAGGCTTCCTCCACCCAAATCTGTAGTTTATATTGTTTTCTCTGAGCTCTATACTCATCTATACTAACGTCTTATGATATATTTTCCCTTGTCAATATCAAAGATATCTCAAGGTCAATCTGAGGGAAAATTTAACCCATTATCTCCTCTAAATGTTTACTCTCTGTGTCCTATCTCTAGGAATGCTACAGTCATCCACCCATCTGCCCAACTCCAAAACTTAAGGTTCTACTAAATGTTATCCTTTCCTTCACCTTCCAATGAGCCCAGTAGTTATACTGGGTCACTTAACCATTTCTTAGATATGGCTCGACTGTCCATCTCCTGTGTCATTCATTCTCTTTAGTTAAGGCTTTTGACACTCTTTGCCCAAACTATTAAGATAGCTTTCTAACTAGACGTTCCTGCTTTCAACCTCGTCACTATGAAATCTCATCTTCTTTTCTATGAGCAGAGTGATCTTCCTAAAGTTAAAGAGATTTAAAATCTTTCAATATTTGCACTTTATCATTAGAACAAATTCAAGCTCCAGAACACAATATTCAAGACTTTTCTCATCTGGTCCTTGACTATATTTCTAATTTCAACTCAGCCAACTGCCCTCACCCTATATCCTATACTCCAGCCATATTAAAATACTTTTGATTTGACAAATATATTTTCTCATAACAAGATGTTCTTATACCTCTTTCCTTCACCTGCAAACATGTTTGTTTTTCTTCTAGCTAAATTATATTAAAACTTCAAAGCTTATTCAAGAGTTATATTTCAACTGAAGCACTTGGCTACTGTCCCTATGCACCTCCAGACCTGGGTTGGTTCCTTTCCTCTATGCTCCCAGAGACTCCTATGTTGACCTCTTCCTAGCACTTTTTTTTTTAATTATGTAAAACACTTAGCATGAAATCTACCCTCCTAACAATTTTTTAAGTGCACAGTATAGTACTGTCAATTATAGGCACAGTATTGTATAGCAGATCTCTAGAATTTAATCATATTGCATAACTGAAACTTTATGTCTGTTGAATAACAACTTCCTATTTCTTCCTTTCCTCAGCCCTTGACAACCATTATTCTACTCTCTGCTTCTGTGACTTTGCTTTTTTAGATATCTCATCTAAGTGGAATCATGCAGTATTTGTCCTTTGATGACTGGCTTATTTCACTTAGCATAACGTCCTCAAGATTCATCCATGTTGTTACATAATTCAGGATTCCCTTCTTTTTTAAGGCTGAACAATATTCCATTGTAAGTATATACCACATTTTTCCCCATTCATCTGCTAATGGACATTTAAGTTATCTCTACAGCTTGGCTATTGTGAATATTGCTGCAATAAAAATGGGAGTGCTAATATTTCTTTGAGATCCTGATTTTAATTTTTTGACTAAATCTCCAGAAGTGGAATTGCTGGATTATATTACAAAGCAACAGTAATGAAAACTGTACGGTACTGGCATAAATACATACAATAGAGCAACAGAACAGATTAGAGAGTCCAGAAATAAATGCGTGCTCATCAACTGATCTTTAACAAGGTACCAAGAGTACACAATGGGAAAAGGATGGCCTCTTCAACAAATGGTGTTAGGAAAATTGGATATCCACATGCAAAAAAATAACCCTATATAAAACCATCCACAAAAATCAACTCAAAATAGATTAAAGACAAGTATAAGACCTGAAACTACAAAATTTCTTTTAAAAAAATTTAGGAGGAAAGCTTCATGACATTGGTTTTGGCAATAATTTCATGGATATAAAAATGACTTTTAAAAAGCACAGGCAACAGAAATAAAATTGGACAAGTGGGACTGTATCCAAATAAAAAGCTTCTGCACAGCAAAGGAAACCATCAACAGAGTGAAAAGTCTTCCTAGCACTTTTTATACTGCCTTATATTTGTTACTTTTCTTGTTTTTCTTCACCCACATATTTTGCTTGTTAAATTAATGACCTGTCAAGCCATACTCAATGATATTCAGGATCAAAGTTGAAGGAGGATTCTCCTACTGGTGATTTTGGCAGGGGTGGGGAGAGAGGGGAGAAAGTGGGTTAGAAGAATGAGGAAAAGAGAAGTTTAGACAAGCTTTCCAGGAAATTTCCCAGAATGTCATTGTGTATCATTGTGTATTACTCCTTGTTTCCTGTAGGTCCTTAGTTTGAAGAGACAAGTATAATGATTTAGAGCAAAATTAGTTCTCCCTATAATGGAGAAAAAATTTCTCCAAAAGGAATAAATTTCCCGGCTGGTCTTCATGACAGTAAACACACAAGAAAGAGATTTCTGCCTTTGACGTGGAGACATGGTTCTAACTTCTTCAACTATCTTCTCACAGCCCAGTCATAGAACAACAAGACTGGAGGCTGAACACTCAGGGGAATGGAACCACTGAAACATCTTACCTGAGACAATACAAATATAAAATCAAAGATGAAATGATGAACAGGAGCACGTAAAGTAGCACCGTGAGCACCACACCAAGGATTCCTGATTGCATGGTTTTTTCAAACATCCAGTACAGCTTTGCTGCATCAGCTACAGGAGCCTCCCCGTCATGTGAAAGCCGCTGACAAAAGAAGATACAAATTAAAAAAATAAATAAATAAAATAAGGGTGAAAACACTGATCATCAAGTTAGATTAATTTAAATACACAAAGACCAACTGAGAGTATAATTTGTTTTTAAATTACATTTTCAATGTGCTGAAGATATCAGATCTTCAGCTGCAGGAAGAAAAAGACTGGATTTGCATGGTTGGTTTCCCAGGATTTTCTCATTTTCCCTATAGGCGTTTAAATGTGTGCACTCTACATGCAATCTATAAAGTAAAAGCCATGTTTTATTTATGTACTATTAACTTCTGAATTTAATGAGCACGAGATATGAAGAAATTAAATATGATGGTGGAAAGATTCTTTTCTCTCTGAAGCAGATTTGAAAGGAATTTAATTTGTTCTATGCATGAAATAGATGGCTTATTTTAGAAACTTATAAAAGTTATCAGGCTACTTAATGTGATCTTGAAAACCAAAGTTTACATTAGGTCAATTTAATAATAAGTCTTTATTTTAGACAGGGAAAACCATATTATATGTTGGGTTAGAAATAAATACAAGGCAATGAGGTCTTTAAAAGCAAATATAAAATGCTATGTACCTAAGACATTGCCATATGACATCTTTGACCTTTGAGTTTATAAAATATGAATGTTCGCTAATTATGACTCTCATGATCTCAAGTGTAAGTCATATGCCATATAAATGTAAATAAGGTATTTTTTTCGCCAATGTAAGAGAGAAAGAAGAATTTCTCTACTTTTTAGACTGACAATTATATAAATATAGCTTAGTAGGGCACGTTTAAAACTAATCCACAGTACACAGGTACAGATAAAAACAGAACCCTAGATAGGTTAATGTGTATTTTCCCTACACCAAAATATCCGTTAGCGATTGGGCAGTGACAGAATTCAGCTGTTCTGACTCTCGACTGCTTCTTCCATCACCACTGCGGAACTTTTATTTTTATGCTCTCTACTTGTTAATCGGTTTACCATGCGAAATGTGAGCTCGTCGCTAGGATTTTAGGCAGCAGATCTGTAAGGGTTACCATGTATTTCTCCTATTCCATATCTTCCCTTCTGCTGCTTTTTGAAAACTAAAGACATAGACATGGGATTCGCTGATGAAACAGACAAAAAAATGATATATGTTTGATGCTGATAACCTAATCTAATCAATACCTGCTAATCATTCATCTGACCCACACGTATGGTATTGAATGCCTACTAAGCATCGTTAAGCTCTGAAGATAAAAGAGTGAATAAGAGTGCACAAAAGCCCTACCTTCTCGGAACTTACATCGAAGTGGGGATGGGGTGGAAAGCAAATGATAGTAAACATGTAAGTAAGATGAAGTAACATACATGGTATATTAGAGAATGATATTTTGAGGAAAACTGTAAAGCAGGAAAAACGTATAGAAGGAATGAGCTGTGTTATTAAACATTTTGATCAGAAAAGGTATCACTGGAAAGGTGTTATTTGAACAAAGACCTGAAGGATATAAGGGAATGAGCCATACACCTCCCGAATGGTATTGATCACACACTGAATATTTTGATTCCCCAACTACATTGTAAGTTCCTGCTTCGACCACTGGGGCAGTGGTGGTTACATCGTGTATCATTCACACAGCATAAGTATCATCACTTCATTATAATCCTCCGGCTGGTTTGTTTTATATGTATGATGCCTTAGATTTTCCAGTTTCTTCCCAGATGGTCTCTCATTTGACTCTCTCAACAAACTGTGAATTGAGTAAGGTAGGTGTTACTATTTATGGGTATTCTTACTGTTTTGTAATTCATTGAGGACATTGAAGCCTGGAGAGGTTGACTGATCCAACGCCATATCGCTGACAGCAAATCTTTTCCCTACTTTTTATCTAGACAAAGGCTCAGTAAGAGAATGAATTTATGAACCCAGCGGAATTACTGAGCATAGTATCATGGATGGGGGTCAGAGGAATGCATTGCCAACCTCTGAATCAGCAAACTGAGAGACAGGGAAACTGTTATCAGCAACATCAACAGCCAATCAATGCTTCAGCCTCCAATCATTCCACCTGCCACATATCCTTTAGATTTCCATGAAGAAAAATGGATCCAAGACACAAATTATTACTGAAAGTAGGTAGCATCTCTCCTGACCGGCCAGCTGCAATCAAACACAGATGATTCTGAGCTTTACCTGCTAGAAGGAAGTGCTGGAAGAACTGGGAGGTATGAACTCGGGCAACCTGAATTTCATTAGTGACACTGAAACTACGATAACCATGATGCCATGTGGAGCAGTAGCTGTCCAACTTTAATAAGCATGAAAATCATCTGGAAGTCTTGTTAAAACCCAAAGCCGGGCTTCCCGGATGGCGCAGTGGTTGGGAGTCCGCCTGCCGATGCAGGGGACGCGGGTTCGTGCCCCGGTCCGGGAAGATCCCACATGCCGCGGAGCGGCTGGGCCCGTGAGCCATGGCCGCTGAGCCTGCGCGTCCGGAGCCTGTTGCTCCACAACGGGAGAGGCCGCAACAGTGAGAGGCCCGCGTACCACACACACAAAAAAAACAAAAAAACAAAGCCCCTTCAGAGGCTGGCCCCATTCCCAGAGTTTTTACCTCAAGAGTGAGTGAGGTACAGGGCCTGAGATTCTGCATTTCTGCTAAGTTCCCAGGTGAAACTAATGCTGTTGGTCCAGGGACCTAATTTTAAGAACCACTGCTTTAGAGCAGATCTTCTCAAACTTCAGGGTGCTCTTTATCACCGTAGAGCAGGTTAAAACACATCTTTTTATTCAATTGGTGAGAGTATCCACATACGGACTCCAATGCTGCTGATCTGTGGATCACATGCAGCTTTTGAGTTTTCTTAAAGACAGCAAAAGTGGATGTCATCAGCAATGAAGCACGATGGATTCTAACTAGAGATCAAATACTGTGGGAATGAGACGTCAAGCTTTTCTTTCCAAGTGGAGAAAGATAGGGGTGTTACACTCATCTATTAGCATCCAAGTCAGCTTCCATCAGGTTACAGACTTCTGAACTGGTTCGGAGATGGCCCTGCTGGAGGTTACTTTCCTGTAGATGACATCAGAGTAAATTAAGACAGCCCATTTTGTCAGCTGCCTTTGATACAGCGGGCTATTCGGCTAGTAATCTCTCTAGGGGACCTGTCTGGAAGAAGGAAAGCCATTCCAGGAGAGCTGCAGACTTTCCTTATGAGGAGATCTCAGAAGATCATAAAGGACAGTGGCTCATCCTCCCAGACGGCTTCCCATGTGGTGTTGCAATAGGACCAAACTGGCCCCAGGAGGAACTGTGAGAGGCCATGGGCTATGGTCCTACTGGAATGCGGACAGCATCCCTCTCTACATCTCCTGCTCAACAAACCTTGATGGCACGGTCTTGTCCTTATGAACCTGGAGTCTAATCAGGGGGGTGAAGGAACTTAGGATGGGGTAGAAAACACGACCACTTCTGACTGACAAGGCTCCCTCTTCTGACCTGTCATCAAGGTGGTCCATGGTACTGAGGCTTCAAGGGTGGTCACAGGTTAGAACTTGAAAACAAGCCTTCCAAGCACTGACAAATTTTCCTTGGCAGGGAGACTAGAAGCTAGGTACTTTGGTAGGCTCGATGTTCACTGTTTGTTTTGACAATATTAAAATGACCTACATGGCTGCAGAGTCAACTGTCACATTTGTCTGCAGGTTCTAAGCAGAGGTCATTCCACTCCAAAGTAAAAAGTCAGAATTCTCACCCAAGGCCTAAAAAGTCATTAGTGGGCTCAGTACATCAAGGACCCCAGTCTTGTTGAGAGCAGCCCAGGGACCTTGAGCAAGTGAAAGCCAGCCTAGCAAACAGCCAAGGGAAGGGAGACACCTTCTCAGTAGAGGGTCTATCACCTTGTCACAGTGTGATTTGGTCCATGGAACCAGCATCCTTGGCAACATCTAGGAGTCTGTTAAAACGCAGAATTTCAGGCCCCACCTGCGGAATCAGAATTTGTATTTTGATGAGATCCCCAGGTGACGTGCAAGCACATTAAAGTTGGAGACACACTCTTGCAGTGCAGCACGGCCTGAGAGATAGAAGTAAGAGCAGCAGGCTTTGCAGATCCGAACCTACCACAGCACCACATTTTCATGGATGTGGAGCGGACAGCAGTTTGGTCTTCAGTTCTAAGAGCGCGTGCTTAATGGTAGAACCCATTCCAAATACTGTGAGGAAGCAGGGTCCATCAAAAATCCCATCCCCATGATCCGCTGGGCACAGTGAATCTAGTCTAAACACAGATATAGCGGCTGGAAACCTTTCTTCTTAAAAGGAGAACTACACCAGTTAAGGACTATTATTACATAAATTTAGATAATTTTACAAATGAATATTTGATTTAGAATCATTATTAGCATTTTTATACATAATCATATGTTAGTACCTCATTCTTAATGATGAAATCCTAAAACTATATATTTTAGAGGGAAGATGCACCATTTCGTCATTTCATAAACATCACAAATGTCAAAATAAATGCCTAAGGAGTAATTTTTAAAACTATTTATTACTTAGAAATGTTTAAAAAGCTCTTATTCTTCTTCTTAAGTATATATCTATTATGAAAGAGTATTACATCAAAAGGAAATAAATAACCTAACAAATTAAAGGAACTACTGCACGATTACTTTTTTATAAAGTTTGGCTGTGAAAATCCTTAATATTAAAAAAAAGTTACCAAAAATGTTACAAAAGAAAGCTTCTTTGCAATAATGTTGAAAATGTACCAATCAGTTTAGATTTGATCTCCAACATTATTTTCTACCCATTTTGCAAGTGTTTCTTTAACATAGCTAAAATTACACTTAAAATGATTATATTAGACATCCACAATTTTTTATTATGAAAAAAATGAATAACTTCAATTTAAGATGAATACTGAATTGTACATGACTATTGAAACTTCCCGTGTCACCTGATTTGTGCACTAACGTTACATTCTATGTCAAGGACTCATGTCCCGATTATTTTACTTGACTTACCCCCAGGGTAGTATCCACAATAAACACTGCCAGTGGGTCCAGAACTGTCCATAGTCCCATGGTGATGATTAACTTTGACAGGACATCAGGGCAGAAGGCAAACAGTACCTGACAGCCCCATCTGATCAGAACCAAGGGAAGTACCACTGCGTTCAGCATTAAAGGCCCCATCACAACAAGAAGCAACTCTTCTCCGATGCGAAGTAAAGAGCTTGGGTAGCAGAGCTCAACCGCGAGGGGGGAAAAATGGAATCTATGGGAAGACAAAGCAATCACATGTGTGCAAAGGAGAAGAAGTCTATAAAATGCTGCATATACAAAACACTTTACGGAACGAAATGCTTTCTTTTTTTTGTAGAGAAAATTTGACACTTAATAGTACCCCAAAATTAAGTGTTAGAAGTCTTCACCTTTTCCTTAGAAACTCCTCAACCGCTCACTTTTGAGGAAAAGGCAAATTCTACCTTGTTCATTGTTCTTGTAAATTTCATATGCCATAATAGAAAGGATATCATTTTGATCCACTGAGCAGAGCGTTCTTTAGACTAAGGACTGCCCAGCAGGTCACACATACTCATTAATAGGCTATTTGAAATGCAAAGTATATCAGTGGACTTAGTAATGACTCAATCTCTAACAGAAATCAGAAATATAAATAAATCTCATAATTCTCCAGAATTTTGACATCACTGATTAATTTTGTTTGTGATTCCTCTAGCTAGACCCCCTAAATACAACAACAACACTGCTGACAACAAAAACATCTAAAGGGACAACTTGACCTAAGGCTTGAATCCCAGGTGAGCCCAGTAATTCAAGCAGCCTTCACCCGGGCTTTGGCACCCTCTTTCCATGCAAAGTGAGCCTTTGTTGACTCTAATTTTTCTCTCCCCTGTGTTTCAGCCTTGTAAAGTTATTTTGTAGTTAATGCTGCTTGTGCATCTCAGCTCTCTACTAAAAAGAGTTCTTATCAGCTTGTCAGCTCTCTACTAAAAAGAGTTCTTCATTTATTCCATTCCTTGACCTTTGCTCTGAAGGCAGTTTTTATGCTTTGTTCTTAGGCTGTTGTGAATATCAAATAAAATAAGGTGTATACATTTCTTAGCAGAGGACCTAACAGAGTAAAAGCAGAAAAAATGCTCACTGTGGCTGTAGCTATTGTCATGTCTCATAACTACAATGTGACATGGAGCTAATGTATGATTCGAGCCTGCGGAACTAGGCAATAGTCAACAAAACATCCTAACGTATTAGGTCCTCTGTTGCTTAAGAAATTGAATGAGCTGAGCTACCAGGATATTATTTTGCAGTCTCATTTCATTAACAAGCAATAAAGGCAGAGCTTCCTTTTCTACTGAAGAAGTAAGAGAGCAAATAGCAAAAAGCAACTAGCCCAAGCATATAATATTTATCCTTTCTGCTTTAGAAACTCTCACACAAAAGAAAGAAAAAAAGAAAGAGGAAAGAAAAAGAAGGGAAGAAAGGAATATAACAGCTATATAAAATATAAACTTCTGCCATGAAAATACAGTTATTTAGTACATTTAAAGTTGCATATTCTATAATATATTCAGAAATTTGTGATTTAATTACAAAAGATGATCAAAAACACACACATATTTCTTCTCAAAGTGTCTCAAAATAGTTTGCAGCCTTCTTAATGGAAAATACACACACATCTTTATTTTTATCCGTACTACATTTGAGAAAATGAATTTTACTTGTATTGATATCTATCTGTTGGTCTATCTATAGTGTCTCTGGAATCACGTTTATGGAGAGATGACCTTTAAAGTGTCATCTTTTTCTAGAGGATAATGGCCCGGAATGCTGCCTGGGCTTGAGTTCAGTAATCGTTTGAATTCAATCGTTTTGCAGAAGAAGCAATCTTTGCTGCTCTGAGTATAGGTGATAAATCATACTTATATTACTTCTAAAATGCCTTCAGCCCAAGTCACTCTGATAAAATCAAAATAGGATAAAATATTGTTGCCAAATTCCTTTTCGGATTCTGCTCAGATATTAGGACATAGTTGAATCTGCTAAATTTTAAATAAATATTGATGTACCGGTTAAGTATTTGTATATACAGGCCCAAAATGAGAATATAACTGTAACAGACATTCCTGCTCTTAGATAAAGACATTTTTGTCTTCTCAAATCATACCTGCATTTTAGGTCTTACGGTAAATGGATGGGAGAGGAATTTTTTTACTTTCATTTGGTCTCTCAAGATGAAAATGCATTCCTTGGACTGTCAGGGGAAAGCACTCACTTTGTAACAGGAATTGAAATGGCCTGGAGGAAAAGCCACTGGCTGAGGTAATGCAGGTAGAGCCTCAGGAACCAGAGAGAAGCCATCAGCAAGATAATGTACCAGAAGCCCTGGCTTTGCCATTGAGCGAACTGAAGTTCTGAAAACACTGACGCCAGCACAAAATAGAGATGCTTGAAGAATTCTCCAGATCCAGTACTATCAGCTACTGAAGAACAGCTACAAACAAAGAAATAATAGATAAATTCTGAGCTTAAGTACAACCAAAAGTAAAATATGTTGAGAATAATAATAAAGACATAGTGAAAGTAAAACTGAATGAAATTACTTCTGAGCTACCTGGGACTCAAACTAGCTATGTTCCTTTTTGCTATAATGGATTACTAAAGGGGAACATAAAAATACATGGATATGGAAATACAAATCAAAACCACTAGGAGATATCTCCTCATGCCTATTAAAATGGTTACTATCAAAAAGAAAGAAAAAAAAAGCCAGAAAATAACGTGTTGATGAGAATGTGGAAAAATTGGAACTCTTATGCACTGTTGGTGGGAATGTAAAATGATATAATTGTTATGGAAAACAGTATGGCAGGCTCTCAAAAATTTAGAAAATACAACTACTGTATGATCCAGCGATACTCCTTCTGGGTATTTATGCAAAAGAATTCAAAGCAGGATCCCAAACAGATATTCGTACGCCTATGTTCATAGCAGCATTATTCATCAAAACCAAAAGGTGGGAAAAGCCTAACTGTCCATCAAGTGGAATATTATTAGCCTTAAAAAGAAGGAAAAAAAATAAAAGGAAGGAAATTCTTTCACACGCTACAACATGGATGAACCTTGAGGACATTATTGCTAAATGAAGTCAGCCAGTCATAAAAAGACAAATACTGTGTGATTCCACTTATGGGAGGTGCCCAGAGGAGTCAAATTCAGAGACACGGAAAGTAGAATGGTGGTTGCCAGGATCTGGGAGAAGGGGAAATGGGGAGCTATTTAATGGTACAGAGTTTCAGTTTTACAAGACGAAAAAGTTGTGGAAATGGGTTGCACCACAATGTGAATACACTTAACACAACTGAACTGTACACTTAAAACAGTTAAGATGATAAATTTTTAAAAAAATAAATAAAGTAAAAAAACATGGTAAATTTTATGTTATGTGTGTGTTACATTTTTAAAAGAAATATGGAAATAAATTATTATAACAGTAAACTTTTTTTAATCTTTAAAATCTATACCATAGTCCTGCTTACCTCACCTACTCACAATGATCCCTCTTTATTAAGATTAGATTTAATTATTGGCATATAATCTGTTCAAAGTTAACTATTTCAGGTTGAAAATTGAAATGAGTGATTAACATACCACTAAAAACATATGAACGAGAATTCAAAACTTAAGAACTCTTGTATTCCTTAACACAATACTGACATTTTCTGTTGAAACTAAACATGAAAGAGCTACATACAGTAATTCTGATTTAGCTCTGGTTTCCTCTCTCTGTCTTGTGTTGATGGCAAGAGATGTTTTCAAAGTTTCTAAAATTGTTTGCAAAAAAAAAAAGCAAGGAGGGGTTGGGGCCTGAAGCAGAAAGAATCGTCAGTGTTCACGGGTACTGTGTTTCTTTTGGGGGTGATATTGTAAAGTTGACTCTGGTGACGGTTGCACTAGTGTGAATATCCTAAAAACTTTAAATTGTACACTTTAAATAGGCAAATGGTATGGTAAATGAATTATATATCTCAATAAAGCTGTTCAAAGAAAAAAGCTAAAATAAAATAAAATAACAGTTTGTAAGAAAAAAGATGAAGAGGCTATCTGAAAACATCTGTAGGGACAGAGCTCATTCCCCACCCATTCCCACGACTACGTGCAGTGCGTATTCAGTACAGTTACCATAGCTTAGTGACTGAAGTACAAGCTCTAGAATCTGACTGGGTATGAAATTCCTTTCTACGCCTTTGTTTCCTCATACGGAAAAAGGAGATGAGAATAGTACCAATATTCCAGGGTCGATATGACAACCCAGTTAACAGGTATAAAACACTCTGAACAGAGCTACTCCTAGGCTACTATCACAAAATAATAAACACCCAATAATCTGCTTCTCCCTCATTTTGTCTTCCTATATTTAGCAGAGCTACTTTGAAATAAGCTGGCTTTCCACCAAGCCCAAGAAATATATGAGATCTGTCTAAATGATTATATGGTTCTTTTGTTTAAAGAGATTTAAACATGGACACGCATATATCTGTTATTTAATTAAAACTGTAAATATCATTGGTATATACTATCATGGGTTTAATAAAATGTCGGTTTTATTAAACCAGTAATTGATCTTTATAAGAACTAGGCTCCAAGTTCCCGGATTAACTTGTCTAATTCTATTCTAGAATAATTCAGCAAATTCCTCAAACAAAAATAGTCCTGATTATAAACACGTTACCAAAGGAGAAGCTGGTACCATAGTAAGTAGTTCAGTGGCTTAGTGACTAACCACAGCAGTTCAAGGCATTGTAGGAACATTAACAGAAATGGAATTCATAGACAGATTCCAAAGATTTTCTATACAAAAGCTCATCTCTCTCTGAAGACCATCAAACATAATGACATTGTATCACCAAAAGAAGCTAAATAACAGAAACAAGAGTCTTTGGGAGGGAAAAGAGAAGAAAAGCAAAAAACTAACAACAGTAAGTAAAAGAAAACCCATTATTCCCCTTAAAATACCAATCCATGACTTTAGCTTTTTGGTCTGCACAGGGCTAATAAGGCACTGAACTTGACATTGACAATTTATTTTGGTTGTTCTTGTGTGTATTTTTCCATAAAGGTGTAGAGCATCATCTAACTGAAAACCATGTGCCGGCTTTCTACTAAGCATACGTTTCAGTTACTCAAACGAGGAATAGTTAAACAGGAAACAGACCCCCAAGAGGCTTTGGTTTACCAATGGTAAAATTGTCAGGAGACTGACTCTCTTAAAGAAGGATTCCAGAATACTTTATTACGTTTACCATAAGTGAAATGAAACCCAGGACTTTCTACACTGCTAAAGGAAAATATTCTGTGCATGATCTCCTCTTCAGTTAATTATTCTGTCACTGTTTTGCCTCTTCAAAGAGAAGACAAAATCAAACACAGATTTGGCATTGTGTTGTTAGCAAAAAACTGGAAAATCTCAAATGATGCAAAACAGAAAAGACAGTAGCTTCTTTGACCTTTGGAAATTTCCACTGTTCTTTTCATCTATTGACTAAGCAGCTTAAATATTTATGAACAGAACCCACTATCAAGTCATACTTTCACCATTAGTTTCACTGATAAAATGTTTCCCATCCACATTCAGATCCACGTTATTTGTTTATGCGGTGTTTGATTTAGGATAAATAACACCAGAATTTCACTGTGTACCATTTATATCTAATTCAAAATATTCAATTTTCTTGCACCTAGTCAACACAATTCAGTATTTGTTTTTATTTGTTTGTTTAACGATAGTAACTATAGCATCTGGATTTAAAGAATTAGGAAAACCTTGGCATCAATCATTTAGAGTTTAAAAAACTAGATACTGCAAAGTTAGAAATTAATAAAAGAATCAGTTGATGAAAGATGATGCCAAATAAAAGGATGTATCAAAAAGCTCATTAGTCGAACACAGCTAGTCAAGTACAGCTTTATAAACAATTCCCGAATGACAAGAAAATCTGAGTCCTTCTCTCTTAATCATTTTGAACTTGCACCTGAAATCTAAATGTGCACCGATATAAAACTGCATCACAATGCTCTCGCCATATATTGTTCTTAAAATAGATTTCATTCAAAGGACAATTCTGCATCCATGTTTCCAAACTGTCTTGAAAGAAAGCGTCTTTTTCATTCTTGTATACATGCAAGACACACTATGGAATGCAGTGCCATAGTACAATATCTTCATCCACATTTCAACTGTTCTTTCCTTCCTCTGTAATCTTTCTTGGTTATGTACAAAGAGTATGATCATCAAAAGGATAATAAATGGCCTCTGCCACTGGGGTGTGTAATACGTATAGTGGGAATTGATTTGTTGGTTATGAAGGCAGCCGTAGAGCACACAGATCATTGCAAAATCACATTGAGGCCAGCAGCTACTCCTCCATTCGTGCAGGCAGCTCCTCTATCGCTCACGGGGTGAGCTGCCAGAGGGTGAGAAGAATGGTGAGGTCATCCAGTATTCAGCTATTAAATGAAACCTATTTCTCTGAACCTCAGCCACATTTCGTATGACACACATATAACCCCCTTCCATGCCCAGTCCTTATAGAGACCTGAAATCAAACAAGATTTCTATGATCCATCAGTGTAATAATAAAAAAGAAAAGACCCAGATTGCTTTGAAAAAAAAGCATGGAATGCATTCTTAAACTCTCTTCTCCAGTGAATGAGTCCCTAGGAATTTGTATATGACCAAATCTTAAGATCTGTCAAGTGAAGAGAAATTAGACAAATGAGAGTGAGGGTGTAGGTAGAAAAGCTGGGAGGGCATTCCATCACACAGGTCATTCTCAGAAGAATAAAGTTGCATTTCTAAAACTGAAAGTAAGTTGAGCTGGGTGAAGAAAGTCTTTGTATCACTAAGTAGTAGTGATAGAGGCTGAAGCTGGAGAAGTAGAAGAGGCCTTCTTATGATGGGGCCTGGTCAGCTCATGCCATATTAAGGAGTTAGGGCTCTATTCTGCCACCATCAATAGCCCACGAAGTATTTTAGGGTGAAGGAGACAGGGAAGGCTACCATGTTTGTAGTTTAGAAACATTGCCCCAGTCGCCAGATGAAAATGTGTGGAGAGGGTCCAGGCTCAGGGGGAGAAAGGATTACGAGTTAGATGATGACCTACCCTGTGCTGCTCAATGGAGAGCATAACAGTTGCACTCAGAAGTATGGGCATGGATACTCTTGGTTGTCACAGTGACACGAAGGATGGCAAAAGGCAACACGTTTCTGGATAACATGTTTGAGAGCCTCAAACAAGGAAGAACTCTTGCACCCTGTATTAGTTCCCTAGGGCTACCGGCACCACAATCTGGGTGATTTCAAACAAAAGAAATGTATTCTCTCACAATTCTGGAAGCTACAAGTCCTCAATCAAGGTGTTGGAAGAGCCATGCTCTCCCTGAAGGTTCTGGGCGTGGGGGGAGGGAGCATAGAAGAGGACAGATCTTTTCTTG